TCCTTTTCTCCATAAGCTTGCAGTCTAGCTAGAAAACTATAATCTAGAGTAGCAATTTTCAACCAGTGTGCCACAGTACTTTTAAAACATGCAATACCCGACTATTTAGCCAGGGGCACTGATCTCTTTTCCCTTAGATTTTGAAATTTAAAAAAAAAATGACAACAGCCAACACAACAATAGCCATCCAGCACAAATGAATTAAAATTATACCTATTTTTTTTGGTCAGATCTACAAAAATATATTTTTTGGTGTGTGCCACAGAATTGTAGTAATTAGTTTTTGTATGACATGAGATTAAAAAGGTAAAAAAATCACTGATCTAGAAAGAGAAAGTAACAAATGTCTTAGAGTTACAGAAAACATATTTGGAAATTCAGAAGAGATTTTGCATCTAAGGCACAATGAGAAAGATTTCATGGAAGATAGTGCACAGTGGGAGGTGCCTTGAAGGATGAGTAAGATTTAGTATTGAAGATGGGCAAGCAAAGTCAAGTGGGGAGGTAGTGGTACACAGTTAATAGCCAGTTGAGATATAAATACCCAATTCTACTTCATAGTATAGTAGCATAATGGAACAAAATCAATAGAAAACCTATTACAGTTCTATTCAAAAACAAGTTAGAGAAAGTGACATTTCTCTGCTGAATTAATTAAATGACTCACATCATTCGTTAGAAGAGAAAAAAGCCGAGATGAGGACTAATTTACTTCCCTCTGTACTTCATCTGAGACAGAGTAACTGACTCAATGGCAAAGCCCTGGAAATACCTTGCCCTGTTCCCCCAGCTCCCCCAGCCTTACCAATGATTCTTGCAGCAAGAATGGTTTGAAGCAGAAATCCACCTATAGATTTGAGCATCAAGGTCACTATGTACTATACTTGCTTTTTCCACTTCAATCAGGGAACTCCTAAGAGGAAATGTTCATTCAAATTTCTAATAGAAATAATATCTCTGGTTCAGTACTCTTTCCAACTGCAACCACCTGGTTTCACTAATTTTTTATTTTTTATTTTTTTGGCTAATAACAGAAGCTTTTAAAACAAGTTTGGATGCTAAGAAAGGAGATCTTTCAGTGTCCTGTAATCTTTAAAATTCATCTCATCTGTTAAAAATAAAATGAAAGAAACAAATAAAAAAGTACTTGAAAATATGCAAGATGTTAGGTAGAATCAAATGACAGAAGTTAGAAGGAAAAATAAGTAAGGTATAATACTAAAAGCCCTGAAGCAATTCCAGGCAGCATATGGAAATTACTGGAGTTCTTTTTCCTTCTGGAATAGTTCTCTCTCTCTCTCTGGTATGTTTTTAAAGGGGGAAAAAAAGTGATTCTCATGGGAGAGTAACACAGAAATAAAAGAGGAAAACAGCTGGCTGTAGTCCATGATTTATCATTCACCCCAAAATGAGACTCCGTTTCTGCTTTTCAAAGACCATTGTTTTTTCTGAGTAGACACAGGCTCTATTTACACAAAGTCAGTTATAATGAAGAGACTGAAGACATCGGGAACAGGTCTAGATGCATCATTCAGAAGACAAGGCAAAGACATAAAAGTCAAATCTATTCTAAAATATTAGTAAAACAGAACTCTGTATAACCAAACTAGCTCCCACATCCTAGCAACAGCTCACTTACTTCAAACAAAACAAATATAGTAAAATCTAATTATAAAAACCCCTTGTCTTTGTGATGATGGGTTTTAACTGGTAATTAACCCAAATGTGCGCAAATGATATGCACATCAACTTCTCTTATAAACCAAGAATCCTGTAATAGGATCATCCACTTGGGTTGTGGAATAAAGACAACCCTCTTTAGTTCTTCTTATACAAAATGTTAATGTAGAAAAAGAAATAAAACCTTTAATCTGCCTGGGGAAAATTCCTTAAGAAATCAACAGTATAAGGGGTTTAGAAGGAAAAAAATGCCACATATCTTAAAACAGAATTCAAATTTAATCTTCTTTAAATGGTTGGTTGTGTCTTTGTTCCAACTTCCAACCTGGCTTTTTAAAAGTTACATTCAAACTATTTTCTTTTCTCATATGCTCAAGCCTAAAAGAAGAGAGACCTGAAAACTATCTAGGTAACAAAATAGGGTAAGAAAGCTTTGACAGTAGATCAGAGATAATTATGCAATGTTTCCTTTTTCTAGTGTGTTAGAAAACAATTTCTAAATGGAATGAAAGGGTTTCTTTTTTTGTCTTTCCTTTTGGTTGTTTTTTTTTTTGTTTGTTTGTTTGCTTGTTTGTTTTTAGATTATGGCTAACATTATAAAATGTATTCCTGGATCTCCAACCTTTGATCTGGGAAAATTTGTGGAATCCACAGAACACAGTTCTCCCAATTCCTTCAAGAGGTCTGCCTACAAAGGCAGAGAGAGGGTATGGTTAGCAGTCAAACTGGACATCTTTGGTGTCTTTTAGTAGTTTCCAAATTACTGGTTGAGGGCAAGGTAATGAAACAAGGATTTGTTATTGTCATGGGATTATCTGTAAAAGTTTTAAATTTATGGTATCCTTTTTCTTGAGGAAGGAAAGGAGGAAGATATGATTCTCAGCTGAAAAGATAACCTTTTAAAGTAAAGGGGAGATGAAGGAGAATAATTACACCATATATCAGGGGCATTATTTATCACAATCCATATTTTAAAACTAAGGAAATTGTTTATAAATAATGTCTGAATTTTTTTCCCTTGCAAGCACAAAATTAATTCTTAACTTTGTAGACTTTTTCTTTGTAATTACGTCTTTGTCTCAAATACTTTTTTAAAAATTAAATATTGTTACATTGGTAAATACAATTATACAGGTTTCAAGTATACAATTCTATGATGCATTGTCTGTGTAATGCATTGTGTGCCCACCACCAAAAATCAAATCTTCTTCCATCATCATATTCAAATACTTTCAAAATCACTTTTGGATGCTGACCTTTTTTTTTCTTTAAGTAGACTTTATTTTTTCAGAGCAGTGTTAAGTTCAAGCAAAATTGAGCAGAAGGCAGATTTTCCATATATCCATCCCCCACACACACAGCTGTCCACAGTATCAATATCCTACACCAGAGTTGTATATTTGTAACAACTGATGAAGCTACCATGACACATCATTATCCCCCAAAGTCCATAGTTTTTACTAGGATTCATTCTCAGTGTTGTTTAGTTATGGGTTTTGACAAATACATTGTCCGGCAAAAATAATGCCCCTTTTTAATTACAAAATCTTTTATTACAAAATCATAAGCATATAACTCTGTAACATAATATCACACTGAAGCACACCATATGACATTTTAGTTGAAATGTTCAAGTTGCTGTCCATCTGACCTGAGACATTCACGTACCCTAGCAACCAGACTCAAGCAAGCCTTCCTTCTGCCAGACCCTATATATAATGACATGTATCCACCATTGTATTATCATTCAAAATAATTTCACTGACCTAATAAATATTCTCTGCTTCAATGATTCAGCCCTCTTTCCCCCACAAAAGGATGTTGACTTTTAAAAGTAGTTTTGGAATCAATATTTATAAGCATGGACAAGACCCCCCAAATTTTAGACAACTACTAAATTAAGTAACTGTTACTTACTTAAAAAACAAAATAAACAGTGTTCATCAACAGAAAGAGCAACCAAAATACTTTCTTAGTGGTAAGCAAAATTAACAAAAATATCAGTGTCATTTAAAAGCAAATAAAAAAATTAAGAAACCCCAGTAGAAAAGACTAAGTGCAATCATGCTACTCTTTAAATTTACATTATCACCTCGACAGGTGTGGCTCAGAGGACTGGACATCAATTTACATTACCTTTTCCTGTCCTTGGATTCCATTTTGAATGCTGGCTCTTATAAGGCATGAACTGTTTTCCCACTGGAAGTTTTTATTTTTCAACAGCTCACTAACATTTTGCATTTTTGTACACTTTCAAAAATCCAATTCTGGGCATTAACAGAATTAATGCTCAAGTCACGAATTTTGCCTTTAGAAGGTAATATGTGCAATATTGGCAACCACAGTGGGCAAGAGAAGAAAATTAGGTTCTCTCTGCAAAACTTCCTTCCCTATTTGATAAGAGACAGCTGGTTTAAATTTACTGCAAAGTAAATATGAGCAATTCCTTGGAAACAGACCTTTAAACACATAACATTATCCCGGAATGTGACATCAGTGGAATCTGACATCAGCATTCCATTTGAGTCACAGTCTGGTCCCCACCCCTTCCTCCGAGGAGACGGGAAGCTCAGGTAACTAGGGAGCAGTTCAGGCAGTGCCTTGGGTCCTGACGCCCAGGGCAGGCAGTCAGGCGGAACCATCTCCGGGCGCTAAAAGCACTGTTGACTATCACTGTTTGGGGCTAGCTGCCAACAGGGGAGAACGTTTTCTTTGAGATAACTTCTAAGAGGCAGGCAGAGCTTTGAAATTAAAGAAATGAATGACCAAAAAAAAAAAAAAAATCATCACTTTTCACGTTATCACTAGCCGCGGGTGAAAAGGAAGTCGATTAAATCACCACTCACTTTGGAGAGCTTCTGGCAGCCAAGTTGGAGGGGAGGAGGTCTGAGCTGTCAAAGTCACCCCAGTGCCCCTAAACCACAGATGCTTAATAAAGTTGAACTTCCTGAGACAGGAAGAAGTAGTGCCACGGTCTCGCCTGAACCGTCGCTAACCTCATCCTTGTCATTTTGGGAGGCAAGGCGCCGCTGAAACATCTTTTAGAAAGTTTCAAACACTTCCAACCGTTGTACGTGATTAGACTGGCGTGAGGCCCCGCGCCTGTCCTTGCTCGCGCTCCCTACTCTCCGTCGCTCCGGGATTTCAGGAGTTAACAGGGACAAGGGGCAGCCCCTCAACCCCAGGGGTGGGTACCTTGCACCCGGGGCAAGGGTCCCTCTTCCGGCTGGTTCCTGGAGGCCCTAGCGCCCCATCCACCGCCTGAGGCTAGGGGGCGGCGCCCCGTGCAGGTGAAGTGGCCGCCGCCCTAGTCCCCCTACCTTCTTCACTTTGGTTTCCAGATCCATGCTTGTGTGTCAGAAAGGTTCCTTCTCCTGTCCAGGATCTCACACCCAGGTTTGCCTGGGCTCCGACTACGCCGCGGATACTGGGGGTCGGGGGTAGATATCTGCCGGGTCTCGGGCGCCACTGCAACCTCCACTCATCTGGCGCCGTCAAACTTCCGCAGCCCAGTCTGCGGAAGCCGTCCAGCAGCGGGGACTAGGAACAAAGAGGCCTAGGCAGCCAATGGCAGCAGGGCAGCGCCGGCAGCCGCCAATCACCGAGCGCCGCACGCACCTTGGCGGCCGGATTGCAGTGGCAGCAAGGTGAGGAGCGGAGCTTCGTCCGGGGCGGTGCCTTCGGGAACAGGTCCTGGAGCCGGGACCTGGTCTCTCTGCGGATTCCTGGGTGTCTGTCGACCCACTTGTAAAGTATTCGGGGCCCTGCCTTCACCAGCTGAAGATAAGGAAAATTCCCTTTCCATCTGGCAGCTTTGTACAATACTTGTGTTTGCTTGCCTTGACCTGTGTCCTGAGGAGTACTTATCCCACTACTAGCTTCTTGATTTATTTTCAGGGCAAGGAGAAAGACAAGATACTGCGAAGATTTTTATGGATCCCTTTGATAGGCATTGCACCCTAATTTCACTATTGAATTGTGGAGAGAGGCTTTTCTCAAATGTTTTTCTCCATAGTCCCAGGCACTGGCAAGAAACCTATTATAGAATTGTACACCTGAAACCTATATTATTTTATTTTATTAACCTATGCCACCCCAGTAAATTCAATAAATAAATTTTAAACAATGAGGACAGGGATTTGATTCTAAGGTAGGAGTAAGAGAGACTTAGGGGTCTAAGTGGGAACCCTAGGAGCAAGGTTTAAAAAAAGAAAAAGGAACCTAGTCTCACCTAAATATCAGTGAAGATTGTTATGTATGTTTTGTGAGCATTCAATTGTTCTAAAGTGAGGATGGTGTGAATCATTTCAAAAACAGGTTGTGTCCTACCTTCAGAAGTAGAGGCTTGTTCTTTGTCCCTGCTATGGGAACTGATGTAAAGCTGCTCATATGTCTCATGCTTTGGTGAAACAGTTTCATAGGTCTAACACACAGCACTGGAGCACCAGCACAGGATCCATTTCATGGCCTCATTCAGGAACAATTGCAATTAATACCATCAGATTGGCGGATCTGGAAGGGATCCCAGAGATTAAATCTGGCTTTCTCATTTTACAGGAAACTGAGGATACCGGAGGTACAGAGACCTGCTCAATTTCTGAGTCTTTAAGCAGTGTCTCCAGCATCTTTGGAAATGTAAACACAGCATTTAGGCTAAGTAAAAGAGAAAAGTCCAGGGTTGTTTTTTCAGTTTGATGTTATGACAAAAAAAAAAAAAAAAATATATATATATATATATATATATATGTATGTATGTATGTATGTATGTAATGGGTGAACAGCAGCTGATTTCCTAATCTAGCCCCTACTTTTAATATGAAAAAAATCCCAAATAAAGTAGATGTTTGGATCCAAAGATCTCTCTCCTTTGCCTCCAGAAATTTGATATGAAAACATCTAAAATTTATTTTAGCCAACACTTTCAATCCTTTGTTTATTCGGCTATTTGTTGACATACTTCAACAGAACATTGATTTATAGTGTGCATGTTTTCCTTATCCTATTAATAAACTAAAAGTGGAGTGCCCAAAATGGATCATGAATTTTTCTTTTCATTTGGTTGAAGTAAAACTTTCCGATCCCATTTTCCCAAACTATCCTAACATTTTGGGCCCCTAAAAAGTTTACTCAGTGTAAGATTCAATGAACATGAAGTTTATGACAAGGCAATTTGGTCTCTTTCTGGGAGATTAACAGATGGAAAATGTCCAGTACAACAGTTTAAATAAGGCATCAAACAAATGTTTTAAGTAAATCCTGGGTTTAGTTGGTAGAATTTCAAAGATCTGGATACATTTATTTTTTAACCATTAAATTCTGCCCTTCCTCTCTTTCTTGCCCACCCTCCCAGCATCACTTTCTATGTGTATCATTGGCAAGAGTGGAAGTTAAAATTCAGTGATTTCTATCTGGACTCATTATTATACCAATTAGATAGAAAAAAATTGATGTACATAAATGCTAAATTAGGAGTCTTAGATTGTGAGTCCCTATTTAGCTAAGTGTTAAGCTAAGTATTAAGGAGTTAGAATTGCCACTACTTGTTGACTAGATGTTGTTGATGACAGAGGAATGAATAGAAGATAGCATACATGTTTCTCACTTGATCACCTATGTGGCTGGTTCAGGAAAAGAGACAATATAGGATAAGGGGCAGGGTTTTGTTTAGTTTTGCTTTCTTTGGGGGATGGTGGAGAGAAAAGGGTACAGTTTTAAATATATTCGGTTTAAGGTTGGGATATTGAAGTGAAGTCTTCACTTCAATCTGAAATATAAGTATTAGATATGTGACCTGGACTGGAAAGGTGATTTAGGAGTCAACATCCTACATAATTAAATAGTTGAAAACCATGGGTAGAATAAGATTAACATGGGGAATTGCAAAATAAGAGAGTATCAGTGACTACAAATGAGCAAAACTGAGCAAGAAAAGCACAAGAAAGGAGATAAGGCTAGTCAGAAGGTAAGAAAAAAACATTGGAGTGGCTTTCAGGTGACCAAGAGAGGAAACTCAAGAAATAATTAGTCAACAATGTCAAATTATAGAGGAGGATTAAATGTCCATTGGATTAACAAAAAGGAAATCATTAGTAAACTTGGAAAATGCTAGCTATATCCTACCTGAAATAGGATGATGGCCAAAGTTAGGTAGTAGCAATGGGTATGGAGAGTTAGAAGGAGTATCCAGTGACATTAAAGAGATAGAAAATTTTGGAACTGATTGATTGGTTCAAAGGGAGGGAAGATAAGCCTAGAATGTCGTTCAAGAATCTATCCTTGAAGACTGATATGGTGGGTGTACCTTACTCCTTAATTTAAGAAACAAAAAAGAACGAAGACTGAGAAAGATTAATGGGTTTAGTGTTGTATATATTGATTTAGCAAAGGCAATTTGATCTGAGTTTGGTAGTCAAAAGAAAGATCTGGGCTAGAGATATAGATGATTGATTATAAATACACTGTCACATACATATACACAAATATATATGTGCATATAAACACAGACAATAAACATACTGAAAGCACTAGGGAAATGAAACACCAATGGGAAAGATTTCTACACCAGGTGAGGTAAGTTTTCAAGATGGACACAACTACACCTTTCTCAATTATTAATGTGCTCCCAGGAGCCTTCTTTAAAAATGTTAATTATTTATTAATGCCTGTTAGAGGAACTCCTGAGCTACTAATATAGCTATCATTGCTCATTAGCAACTTGTATAGGATTACATGTTGTTTTTATAGGGATACACCAACATAGCAGAGAGCAAATTATTACCTGTAAAACATTTTTTTAATTGACCAAACAATTAGGGATTGACTAAGTAAATAGTGGATGATCTATATGCTAAATTTATGATAGCATAAACATTGTTCTGAACAATGATACTTAAGAATTTTTGTAATAGTAAACAAATATAATCTTACGGGAAGAAAATAAAATACAGAATTGTATATATATTACACTCACCATGCTGCAAAATACCATGCACAGAAAAACAACATGAAGAAAATACACTAAAATGTCAGGAATGGATTGCCTTTGATAGCTGGGGCCATGGGGATTCTTTTCTTCATTAAAATATTCCACGATGCGCATGAAATATTTCTTAATGGAAAAACCTTATTTAAAAATATATTATTCAAAGCATTTTAGGAAGATGGGGCAATGGCAGCATAATTTTTAATCTCTTTCACATTAAAAAACAAAACAAAAAACAGATCAACTTTACAATGAAACTAGGCAATCTTTACAATGAAACTAGGTGGCAAGGTATTTTCATAAACTCCAAAACACAAGCAGTGAGGACAAATCACCTAAAGCCACGAGACATGTATGTATAAACAATTTTGTGGGAGGGAGAGAGGGAAGCAATAGGGCAGTGACTGGTGGACAGAACTCAAGAGGTCCTCCAGTTACTCATTTTTAAACACTGCGAGACAATTTTCTAAAAGAAGCTGAAATAGAATGATCGAAAAGGCTAAAGAAATTTCACTCTTGTGATGTCTTAAAACTGATGCTCCTGAACTCCCTTCTAGGAGAGGGTCCAGGACATAATAAGGAGCTGTGTGGAGGGAAATCTAAATTTAGTAGGATGGAACAGAAGAGGTGGTGGGACGTGAAAGGCTAGAGGAGCATTTTCTAATATGATAGCCAGTAACCATATGTTGTTATTTACATTTTAATTAAATAATTTAATTACCTAACATTAATTAAAATTAAAAATTTAGTTTCTCAGTTACGCTAGCCATATTTCAAGTGCTCAACAGCCAGAGAGGGAGAGTCGGGAAATCCCCAAAATACACTATATTTTTAACACTTCATAAAAACAAAGGAAGATGGAGTTCTCTGATTTAGGACACGATTTTCTGTACCTGGCCTTACTATAAAAGTTAAGAAAATTAATAGCATATAAAAATGAACAGTAAATTATCAAGATGAAATTCAAAACAAAATTATCAAAAGAAAAAATAGAGCAAAATAATTTCCTTACAGATACCGAAAGAACATCCGGAAGATGTATCCACAAAACAGAGCAAAGCTAAGCTATTATTTTAAAACAAGCTCAGAGACATTAAAAAGTTAATACATGCCAGAAAAAAACCTTACAAAACAGATTTAAAAAAAAATTCAGAAGTGATGTAATAGACCTCAGGAAAGAATTACAAGTGAAGAACAATATTACATAAATAGAGACTAAACTAGAAAGAGTACAAGGTTAAAAACTGATAATGCTTAAGAACACAGGAAGGTATACAAAAGAAGTTTTTTCTAAAACATCCAAAAAATGAAGAAATAAATAATAAAACATTATAGGTAAAATAACAAATATCGAAAATAAGATAAAAACATCAAACATGTGGACAATAGGAATATCTGAAGACAAAAACCAAACCAAACCAAAGGAACAACTAAATACTAAAAATTATGATTCAAGAAAACTTTTCTAAATTAAAATAAATGATATGAAACTATTCATTGAAAGAACATGTGCATACCTGAAAATATT